ACGTTGGCAATCGAGAAAATTCCACCGACTCGGATTAAGCCAGATGCTTTGAAGCGTGTCCGCGATTACGTAGATTACAGGCATCCTCGATGAGGACAGAATTCGTTTCTTTCAAGTCGCTCCATTTCACGCGCTAATAGGTTCGCGCGGTGTTTCGCGCACACGGACGCCCGGGCGTCGCGTTTACAGATGCAAATCGGTTAAAAACCGAGTTCTGTCGTCAGCGGATTTCCTCTTCTTTTTCATTCTCTTCTTTTTTTTTTCACCCCGTCACATTTCACCGGAGCGTACACGACTGAAGCTCGATGTCAAAAGCATTAGAGATTCAGAGACGCAATGGCGCGTTATACCACGGCGGTCCGCGAGTCTTCTCGATCTTTGTATTAGGATTTGTGCGTATGAAATGTCGTTTATACAAGTAAGATTTTAAGTGTACGAGATATTAGGCGGGGAAATTAATTCTTTCTGAGGTAAACTTGTTGTTTATTATTACTAGACTGAGGATTTGATGCATTTATGACGTATCGTAATACAGAAAGCACAATTGTCATAATCATATTATCATAGTCATTTTGCATAAGTACACATACATACATTAATATAGAAAACGTACATACAGTATGTATAATGTATGTTGAACATATTCTACAATTAATATAATACTATTATCATTTCATTTTGCATAAGTGCACATAGATACATTAATAAAGAAAACGTACATACAGTATGTATAATGTATATTGAAGATATTCTAGAATTAATACAATAACATTGTTATTTCGTTTTGCATAAATGCATATACTTTTGGTTACGTTCATCATGTATTTACTGTATTAGTTTATATCATAAATACATAAAGTTTGATATTCAGAAATAATATATGAAGTAATGTTATTTGAAAAGTGAGCGCACGTGTAAAAATAAATAACGTTATTTATAAAAACATTCTCCAGGGATAAAATTTGATCTGTCTTTGATACCAAAGATCGTAAAAAAGTTGTACGATTCTCTTTGAGGATCACTCGGGCACATCCACGTGGAAAATCTTTCCCCACGATTGGAAGAAGTGGCGGCAGGAGACTCGACGTGCCGTGGATCGGTATAAAACGCTGATAAGCGATCCGTGTCGGTGTGGACAGAGCCTTAAAGTGAGAAACGAGAGGCCAAGCGATCGCGTAAACGTATTCGTGTCAAAAGCAGCTCCGGTCGAGACCCGAGTTATCCTCTGACCCCACTCTGTCATCTCGAACTTACTTCGTCTCCTGTTCGTTGCCACGGAACCGTTATTTTCCATTTTCCTTCGGACGATCCCAAGGAAAAGTTTTCATCGCTTTGTATGCGCATCCCGAACGACGAAACGATGAATACGCGAAAAGAAAACGGCGAAAACGTGACGAAAATTGTCCTTTTTATAAGTACACGGAAGAGGAACTTTTCTCTCTATTTGTCTCTCCTGTAACTTCATTGATTTTAACCCTTTGCGGTGCGAGGCGTGACAAAACTATTTTTTCATTGAACTATTAAGTTAAAATAAAAAGATAATGCGTATACAAAATTAAAAATCTACATTCAGCCTCGTTACTAGACTCCGGATTTTTATGCATTTATAGGGGAGTTTGAACGTGCAAGAACCTACAAAATGCAAACAATATGCAAGAATATAAAAAAGATTGAAAGTAAAGTTCATATTATAATATCTGCAGAGTAAAATAAACTTCTATTTAGGTTCAATTTTCCGTAGGTACATTTACCAAAATTTTATTTTGCATAGAGATCCGCAGTCTACTCATTACGCTTTACGGTAACAAAAAAATAATGTTTCGAAAGCCCAAGAAAAAGATATCGAAACACAGTTGCTATCGATACGGGTCTGGCAAAACAGAGCGCAATGTTTATTAGCAACGAATAAATGGCCCTCCTTTGATGTAAAATCCGTCCGTTTCACGCCCGACGTTATTCCAACAAACTAGTGAAAAGAACACGAATGTTTACAGCGGTGATTAATTCGAAAAATTCGTTTGAAAAACGCCAATATCGCACTCGTTCGCGCTCCGCGGGCAGAGACTCGCGTTTCCGCGTTTGGTCTATTTAATGAAACGCCACGGTTGCCGCGGAGCATTCTTCAGTATCGAATGCACACGTAATGCGTTGCTACGAACGGCACGTTCTATTTCCGTGGATATATACACACTACACACGCACGAGCGCCGACAGGGTGCATCGGTGCACTTTAAAGCGTTGCATATTCCTCGCCGCGGAACACTTGGCGGCCTCAAGCTCGCCGCGATAAAGCGTCACGTTTCCGTCGCGTTGCTCGCTCGTCGTCGCCGCCGCGGAGACAAAAATGTTTGATTCAATGCGAACCGTCGAGCAATTAAGAGCAGACGTCTGTCGATAAACTTTGAAACGCAGGACCGCGAGCCTCGTTCCGAGAGGAGTTCGTCGCCGATTTTCGTGGCGTTCTCCGACGATAGGAACGGCGAAAATAAGTAGAGGTTTATGGATCGTCGGTAGTAATTATCGTATTAACCTTTAGAAGCTCGATTTTCCAAATTAAATTTAAAAAAATGTCATGGTATTTATTATTTGAACAATTTTGACAGCTGACGTTTATATTTTTAACTTTTGTTCGAACGAACATTATGGAATATTAAAAGACATACCAATTGCGAGTGTACAATTCGATTGAAAAGTTTGCTGTCAAATTTGAAACTTAGGGCATTTAAGGAAGGGTTAAAGGAAAAATGATTAAGTAATGTTTTACTTGAGATTGTAAGCTTTCACAGGTAATATTTATATTAAAATATATGTAAATAAATTTTACTGATAGTACCATATTATTCTCAATCTATGGGTGACTATTCTTTCTGCTTAGAATAGACGCTCGACATTCGTGACGAAACGCAACGTCTCCGCGCGTGCCGCGTTTCTCAAAATAGAACGCAAATAATGCTGAGGCGAAACTAGAATTAATAAAGAGGATTTGAATACGTGTCATTTGCTCTGAAAATTAACTGCCTTCGCAATAAGCCTCTGTAAACAACTGCCTTGACAATAAGCCTCGGATAAAAGACGATAGCAATGACTTTACGTAATAATCTAGAATCTAGATTCTAGATAGTAGGCTACCTGACAAATTTTGTAATTTATGCACAGAAGTACAATAAGTTGCTTAAATCTTTTATTTACAAAGATTGCTTTAATTTTTTCAGTATTGTCAGACATGTGAAACAAAGTATGTTAACGCATTCACAACGACGCACCACAGGGCGGCGTGGTGGTACACGCCGTCTGAAAGACACGCGAGCGCGAGCCACCGGTGGTACACGCCGCCCGTTGTAAGAGTCAAGCGCGAACCACCGGTGGTACACGCCGACACGAACGTGTTAAACAAGTTGGAAAATTCTGAAAAAAATACAGTTACGTAGCATTTTTGATGGAGAATCGAACAAAAATGTGAACAAATTCGAAACTTGAAGTGTTTTCGTGCTAGGACGAATACGATCAGAAAGTATTATACCGCGATTAGTCACATTGTCAGTTCCCTCTCAGTCGCACCCGCGTAGACCTAAATTTCCGCGACACAGCGCGGAATTAGCGTTAATTCCAAATTCGTGTCATCGATTCGACGACTCGCCAAACGAAATACCAACTTGTGTCAGAAGCAAATCTCAAACCGCTCTACGCTCCCTTTCATCCTCGCCTCGTCCTCGCTCCTTCTTCCAGCGACTCTGTTCTTACAACCCCCCGCACTATTCACCCTGATCCAATAGTACGCGTACGACAGTAGAGACGATTATCCCCAAAACGTCGTGTACGAGAGAGACGCGTGTTGGCCAGCTCCGATACATACGCACACAAATATTCGCGCATGCACTAGGACGCGTTGGACGCGCGGATAAGCAAAGCGGAGCAGTGCAGAAGCGAGAAGAGCAGAGAGGATCCGTAGGTGGATGCGCAACCTGCCGACAACAAGGCCCCAATACAGTCAACTTGGCCGGCAGTAGAAATTTACACGCGTATCGAAGCTCGTCAGAATCCATACGCGCGTATGCTCATCCACCTAACACAGTGGTTCTTAACCTTTTCAAGCTCAACGTTTAGGAAAAGATTCCTCATCCCTTTGGGCTAATGACACAGTTTACAGGAAATCTCTGACGGTTATTAATCGTTACACTGCTTAATTAGACATGTATTATGCATATTTTTTAAAAGTACATGCATGTTTATTACGTGAAATTCAATTCCCATTTTCTGATCATTTTCAATACAAATACGATATTCTCCAAAGTGATAGTGTTCATGCATTCAAATCTGAACTTTCTAGCTTACATAGTTTTCATGGTACAAGTTCCGAAAGATTAGTCTGTTTCCAAGGGTTGGGGGTAGTTAAACGAGGGTAGTTAGACGGGGGCAGTCTCGTCCAAGGAGTTGAAAAATCAACGATCTCTGTATATTCAAATGAAGCTTCTTGTGCTCGTTGATACATTTTAAAAATAAAAAAAAAGAATTCAATTAGTATTTAAAATAAATAAACAAAGAAGATTGTCACTCATCCCTGCCAGACCCCTAAATACGATTAAATAGCCATGGCTCTACAAATTTAGAGTAAAGGAAGAAAAATTACATGAAGCATTAAAAATAAATAAACAAAGAATGTCGGCCATTTCCATCGGCTCGAACGGTGGGGTAGCGCGGACACGGTGGTTAAGAATCACTGACGTAACATATGTACGCATGGGTCGCGTTAAGTGTAGCGTAGCTCTGTGATTCTCACCCGGTACCCAGCTCAGTTCTCCCACCCACACCCTCTCTCATCCTCGCGGCGCAGCTCTCGGCTCTCACCCTCGCCCTGCCACCGCCACCGTCGTCTCCATCAACCCCCGACCC